CAGATGTGGTCAAAACAAATGCAGGTGGCGGTGCTACTCTTACATGTCATAGAGCACATCCCAATGAGACAGCCAAAGCCTAATCTAAATAGGTCATCCATTTCTATACTTTTTCGCCGGGGATCTAGAAAATCAGCCTAAATCATTGGCCTGTCTTGCCACGTGACATAGAGCAATAAAAAAACTGTCCTGGATTCACCCTGCTGATTGAAAATTGACAGTTACAGTATTTGATTATATACAGTAGTTATTTATTTAGTGACGCAACACAAAAACATAAAGGCAACAGCTGCTGCACTGGTGAAGCATATATATGCATGAATATATGCTTTGTCCGTGAAGCTGTCTTGAGATGAATTTCACTGTTATAGTCCATCTGTATTGCACTGTCCACATATACGCAATATAGTATCAGCAGCAACACGTACTGCAGAGCTGGGGGTGGAGCGACGAGATTGATTTGGCCTAGAGCTGAGAGTGACCTTTTAAAAGAGCGTCATTGTTCTCTCTCGCTCAAAGATACGGCTCCATCTCACAAGCTCAACACATGATAATGGTCCATGATATAACTGAACGGCCGCATTCAACTGTTGATCACTCTGGCAATGTTATGGTGATAAGACAACTGAAGTGAGTGAACTGGAGGGGGGGTCTTCCCCAAGCATGAGAAAAGAGCAAACAGACAGGGACAAGTATTTGAAATAGCTCAATTGCTGTTTGAAGTTATAATCCTTAAGATTGCAATGCAAAAAACGCAATCACGTGTTAGTACTAAGAGTATAAAGTACTGGAAAAGTTTCAGGAACCTCATGAGTTCCAAAAGTAATGTATCCTACAATTTTACAAGAACTGAAATAATGCAAAAGGTTTTGCCTTGAGTTCATACATGACCACCAAAGATAGACTCTGATTTTTTTACATGTGTCTTGATTCTGTTCCTATCTGGAACCTTTGAGAAGAGACCTCAGAATGTTTTATTTGACTTCTTGATTTATTTTCTTTCTATCAGGACTCATTGTTGACTTGTTATTTTATTTTATTTTGGATTTATATTGTCATTTGTTGTACGGCTGGACCTAAACGCAGACACAGCAAAGCACAAGACAGGCAGGCTGTGCAGAAAAGAGTACAGTGGAAACTGGTTACAGTGTATGAAAAGACCAAAAATGAACACTGTAAGTGGAGTAATAGATCACTATGACAAAATTATTTCAATTCTGTCCCAAGCATTTTGATCCGTATGAACCGTGTCTCGCTATGTCTGTGATCACTATATCCAGTTTCCACTGTATTTATTTAATATCGATCTGCAGGCTTAGTGGACCGGCAGGCACAAAGAAACTTCAACAGCAAAATACAGGTGGAATGAAGGAACAAATTGAACTGAACCGACGTGAACAGCAGGGATAATGGAACACAGGTGACAAGGGTGGGAACTAGGACAAAGAGGAAGTAAGGTTTTTTAAGGCCATGCAAGAGCATTCAAGGCCCATCGAAAAAACATTTGGTGTGTGCACAGACTTCACAGACCCTGACCTTGGCTCCAGATCGTCTGAGTTTAGAACCCCAGACCTTGTCAACTCCCGGAAATGCCTCTGCAGCGACCTGCTGTGATTCTTCTTTTTTTTTTACAAATTCTATTTTCCATTCTTCTGCCATAACCTGCTTAACTAAATCACATGTATGTCTACCGCTGCATAGAAAGTTTTTGTGGTGTTTGTCTGTAAATGTTAAGCAGTCGAGCATTAATGAGATATTCACTCTACTAAATCCAGGATAGCAACAGTAAGGAAATCTACTTTAGGACTACTCCTGCTGTTTGGTACAGCAGTCCTTTCTCTTTTGGGCCAGTGCTCCATACAAAAATACATGATACATAATCACAAAAAGGAATGGTATCATGCAGCAATTTCAGCTCCCATCTTATTTATTTAGCAGCACGAGTGCGGCTCGTGTTCATGTAAGTGCATCTGCTAATGTGTGTCAGCTAATCTCGCGCTCAGGCCACAGAGAGAGGCCACTAAGTGGCCTAATGTGTGGGAGAGATTGTCTGGCACAGAAAGGTGCTTGGAGGAGCGTGGCGGGTGTCTATGTGGAGTGTCGCCTCCCTTCCTCTCGTTCTCCAGCTTTGAACTGTGACGAGTATACAGTGTGGTCTTTGTTTGTGACTGACAATGTGACAGAAGTGCTCTAAGTCCCAGTAAAGGATTTCCTTTACGACTTTTAAATTTAAAGTTAGCGAGTAGAGCATCGATTTTTGACATGGAATAAGAAACAACGGCACCAAAACCTACAATCTCGAATTGTCTATGTTGCAGAGTGAAGTTAGACAACTTTGTGGTCACCCTACCTGGTTTATGTGCAATTTTTTAGTCAATGTTTTTCATAAAATGAAACTGAATTTGCTTTTCAAGTGTGTGTGAGTTTATAGGATTTATTAAACTTGCATGTTGGCTATCTCAGGTCTGCTAAGTACACAACTCTTTAAAATAAAAACTCTGTTCGACAAAATGAACATTTGCTTTTACTGTGAAGACAACGTGCGAAAGAGGAATTGACTCAGTAGATGTTGCCATGAAGTAGATCTGTCAGTCTGATATAAAGAAATTATCACAATGATCTTACAGGGCAGATATTATTAGTCACAGGCTGCTGGTTGTCGACTACTTCTGTAGCTCATCCGAGGAAGAAAATATGTTTGGTCTGCAGACTGACTGCTCACACTGGCCGGCCCCCACTGACTGCTCCATAATGCCAGTCATCGTTTATTTAATATTTATTATTATTGAATGTATCACGTGTGCAATCAGACCCAACTACTGCACTCCCTCAGGCAATGTACAATACCGTGAATTCAATGTGTGAAGTGCATAAGATGAACGATTAGCAAGATACACATTTCACATGCAGACAGACACATAGAGAAAGAGCAGGCAGATAACTCGCACACAGTTAGCAAATGAATCAATCTTAATTTGTAGAGCAGTTTTAATGTAATATAAAGTGCTCTACAAAAAGTGTAATACATCCCACCCCCCATCCACACAGTGCAGAACAACATTACCTGGAACTGAGGACATAAATAATATATAATATATGCCAATATTGTATAATATTTTATTGGTGGAATGGGTGAGGATAATAAAGCAATAATAACCCATGAAAGTAGAAAAAAAAAAGGTCCAAGTCATCTGTTATCAGAGCAAACAGCTACAAATTATCAAGAGTCAGACTGCTTAATTACACATTATTGTGTAGATAGTCGCTGTTTTATCAGGGAATGATATTTCTGAGGAAAATGTTATCTGGGTTGTTTGTCGACTACTGAGATAACTGGCTCTTTAGCTGCTAATTTCTCCGCTAATTTACCTGTCTGCTGTTTGGTGCTGGGCAGGCTGTGGGTTTATCGGGAGTTTTATGACTCAAAACAGCTACTTGTTGTGGTTGAAAAAAGAAGATGAGCAGTGAAACTGAACAAGAACAGTAAGAGTAAAAAGATGCTAAAACTCTTTATGGAGCTGAGTGTAACTACAGAGTCGATGATAATTCTCTCTCTCAAACTCTTATACAGTTGGGTCAAAAGCTTACAGGACATTTAAGTAAGACCAATTTGAGAATTAAAAATGTAATCAGATACCTTTGATTAGAGAAAGCCAACCTTTTTCCAAATAAATGACATGATGCAAAGAGGTCCAAGACAGTTTAAAATACATTATGAGCCATGTTCAACCCATAAATGTAACATGAATCTGGTGAGAAATGTGATTTTAAAAACCAGGTGTAGTGTGTGTCATCAAAGATAAGTCATATAATTACATTTTATTCAAAAAACACAAGTGTGCAATATCACTTCAAAGTCAAAACTGAGCTGTAACAGAAATTATGTGTATGTTGAAATTATATAGATTTTCTGTTGTTAGTGGGTTGTTTTAGGGATGATAATCACCCCCCCCACACACCTATTATACCATATATTTTGTCTCTGTAATGTCTTAAAAAAAGTGTTACATTATGCTGGAAATGATTTTAAAATGACTTTAAGGCTATTTAAGGTTAGACATAATGCATTAACCTCACTAACACCACAATTAGGTTGAAATCTGCCTTGTCACACACACACACACACACACACACACACA